TTATAAGACACTTTATACCGATGCGAAGTGAAAATTCTGTATAATTTGTTCGCTTACCACTGCTGCGTTGCGCGTGGGAGGTAACGAGCGATCAGGTAATTTCCAAATGTGCACGTGACTCTTCCGCTCACGTCTACGTGACCTTGTAGTAAAGTGTGCAAAAATAACACGGCGGAAGCTGAGTCAATGTTTTTTTTATCCATTGATCATTAGATTTTCTTTTCAGAAACGAACAGGTATTTAAAAAAGGAAAAAAAATAAATATTAGCGATTAATTTAATTTTACGCTGGAGTACCAGATCAAGCAAAACAATAACTGAAATTACAAGAATAAAGTTAAAATATTATTGGAATAAAGTCAAAGGCTAATTTTGAGAGTAAAATCACAATGTTTCAATAAAAAAAAGCCACAATATTACTAATAATAAAGTAAAATTTTACAGAAAAGTCACAAAAGTTGTACTTTTATGAGAAAAGTCACAATTTTATGTGAATAAAGTCATAATTTTAGGTTCTGTGTTTTATACAGAAATGTCAGAGGCTTTAAAATGAGGAACATGGAGCATCCTGTTAAGTTATACTTTAACAGAGGTTTCACAAATAAGGAGATACTTAATGGTTTGCTCATCATCATCCTCATCATGAGGATATTGAAAAGATTCCACCAGTGACTGACCTTTCTCCTGTTTTATTGGCTGCTGGTAATATTCCTAAGAATTTTTTTTTCTCTCTCGAAACTTTATATTTTTAATTCCTGTAATGAATGCCTTGTAACTTTATTTTTGGAATATTACGACTTTATTGCCATAAAGATTTTATGCTCAAAATCTAGACTTTATTATTGTAATTTCACTTTTTTTTTCCTCAATGTGACCCTAATAATCCTGTAGAACTCAAAAATAAAAATTTTAAATAGGATTTTTTTTCTTTTCCACGGTTAAAACGGGCGAGAAAAGTTTTAAATTGTTTGATTTTCATTTTTATTATAACAAAATATAAAATCACCAGAAAACATTAACAACGAAAAGGCCTGTTTTTTATTCTAAGACGGCTAAAATTTCTAACCCTATTGATCCTGAAGGAGAAATCAAAGTGTTCTCTTATATGCAGTCACGGAAATCATTGCCTTATCTTGCTCAACACAAGCATAATTCATTTCCCGTTTGTTTCCATCCAGGACAAAAGCCAACCCTCCAAACTGAGGCCACAGAATTCTCAAAATGGCACCTGAAGTTTTACCTCGCCTTAATGCCGCCATCTTTGTCGAGTCGCAGCAACATCTTTCCAAGTGAGAGCTCAACATGGCGGTTGTAGAGCGTAAGTTCACCAGCCTGTCTTCCACTCACAACAACCAAATTCCTTTAGTTTATGGCTTAAATTGTCTCAGTTTGGTAAAATTAGACCTGACTTCACGTCCACTGGGTTGGCGGTGGTGGCCTGAGATGGTGCAACCTGCTCCCCTTCTCCCATCGGTCACTGAGGGGAAGAACCGTCCTGGATGTCCTCATCGTCGTGTCTCTTACTCCCCACATTACTATTAACTGTCAACACAAATTTTCCGTGTTATCAACAATCGTAGCTTTAATACAATCTTACTTTTCAGAACACAATCTTCAATGTTAGTTGCTGTTTTCATTTGTATAAATTGATGATTTCAAGCCCCGAGCAAGTCCTGTATATGTTGTATTACTCCTCCATGAAGTCCGCTAGCATAACATTTATGAACACGCAGCGCCAGATCCAGATCCAGATCCAGATCCAGAACGCTGTTTGCTAGTTCCCACAGCCCAGAGGCACGACGGGAGTGACACTACTGCGCATATTCAGTGGGCCGCATAACGCACAAGTAACCCGGAAGCCAGAAACGTTTTCGGCATATGCGCCAGGTGAGCAACTTCTATAGAAATTAACGGGCACAAAAAAAAAAAAAAACGCTATCATATCAAATTTGGTCTTCAAATGGAAAACTAAAAAAATGGAGTTTGGAAATGAAAATGTAATATTTTTAGAAAAATATTTTATATATAAAAATGCCGTTTCTTAAAAACCACACCAATATTTGATGCCTATTAAATGAAATAATATATAAAAAGATATGTGAAATGCTGTAATACTAAAAAAGCCCAACATCTGTATGATTATCTATGCACTTTAATACCTGACTGATTTCTATTTTGTACCTTTTTATAATTCTATATTTTTATGATTTTCCTCTCTTAAAAGTATAATTGTTTATTATGTGTATTATTTATTTTATTAAACTTATTAATTCCTCCATCTTCTTTCCTCTGACCTATAGTTCTATTCTTATAACTGCTTGCTCAGTTGTTCCTATAGTTAATGCACTTATCCTGAATGTGATTTATGCCCTTTTGACTGTTACAAAGATTGTCAGTAAAACGCGCCAATTTGTCCGTGTTGTATCGTTTATTGTTGTATTCTTTTGACAGGGACAAGTTCATCCATCAGTTAGTGTTAAAATGCCCCGAGCTTTGTGCAGCAACAGGCTGTAATAACAACAAAAACAGATCTGTCTTTTCTTTCCCAAAGGATGCAGAGTTAAGTCTAGACAGGTATAGACTACTACTACTGTCACATTTCATGCCAGTTGCCTTCACTTGAGGGAGGGGTTGAGGGACAACATCCACTTAGGAGACCGGAACTGTCTCATTTCATTGGCGCTGCCTGTAATGCGGCATCTTCTCTATAGACGATCTTTGACAGTTAAATACTGAGACTCACTTCTAATAATACATCCATGGTGATCTTCGGCAGGTGAGTGTTACAATTTAAAGTGTCCCGTGCAACACAGGCGCAAGTTCCTACGTCTTGCATATCCAATACAGATAAAAGAAAATATAGCGTATAATCACAAATAAATCACATTAATAAAATGTGTAAACAAATATATCAAATGACAACATAACACATTTTTATGGCAGTTAGTGTTGGGCTCCCTGAGAGGGATGTGTTTGGCTAAAGAGACAGAACTCAAGGTCTTGTTTAAGACTTTAAATTCAAATTGTATTCTTTTTTTTAATTATTATTCTAAACCACAAGAAAAGCCATTGTTTGTTGAGACCCTGGAAGACAAATAGCTTGTCTATGCAACAAATCAATTTATTCAATTATTTAGGATTATTTATTTGATCCTGTTCATTTATCTTTGTCTCCAGCTCTTGTCCATATGACATAAATAGCGTTTCTTTAAGCAGAGGGTTGTTAGGCGACGTCTTTGGTTTATTTCCATTTTCATGTTCACTTCCTCTGCAAAAAAAATGAAATAAAGTTCAGCATTAGAAACATATATAAAGTAATCAAAACAACCTCTTATTTATTCTTCTTCAGGTTTAAGTTTGTTTCATGTTTCTGGCCAAAAGATCATATGACGATCTTTTTAGGTTAAATCACGATCCACGATCTGAATCTGGAGTCTCCCCACAGATTTAGTTGAACTTGTGATCACGTGAGTAGTTGTGCACATGGTCGCCCGGACACAAAGCCCGTCACTTAATGCCGCCTTTTGTTTAACAATTGTGTCACAACCAATCGCACCTTTTTGCTTAGTTCATATGGTGTATTTGTTTGGACAGCGATTTATATTATTTATTTATCAGGTGCTACATGTAAGTACTTTAATTTGAAAGTGCAGTCGCTTCCCCGGCTGGTCCCGCCTCGTCCCCACTGCAACTCCGCTGCACCTGGTGGTTCGTGTCCTGCTCAGGTGGAGAACTGGTACATGTGCCAATACGTCACGCTCTGCCACGGGCAGCTGCAGGTAGCGGGTTAGCTGTTTAACAGTTAATGGGCTGGTTAACAGCGACTGAACTTTTTAAATTAAATATCTAAATATGTTACCTTTTATTACTATCTGTGCGATTAATCGCCCACGATAAAGTGGTCCGATCGCCCCTGGTTGGTTGTTTTTCTTCCTGTCTTTGTTTTTCCCACTTCTGTGATCGTCTTTCCATCCTGATGTTTCACCTGCTCCCAATTAACATGTACACTGTGTTTCATACAGAGCAGCAGTGCATTTCTAATGCAGAAGATTTACTCACGTTTGTGTTTCATCACTGATTCTGTCATAATGGTTCCTTGCTGGGATTAGCTGGGGGTGGGGCTTTAAACCTACTCCCATGTAAAGGTTTGGATTGTGGGGGATTAGTAGACACACGGTCTTCCGGACTCAGACTGTTGTGTCCCTTTACACCATGACTTTGCAATTCTTTTTGTAAAACAAAAAAACAAACAAAAGAGAAGTGACCTCAGTCAGGGGTTTTTCCCTTTTGCTTTTGAGCATCAAACTATCATTTAATCATTCAGTCCCCGGTGGATATAGTTTAATATAGTTTAACCCTAACCCATTTTATCTATCTATCTATCTATCTATCTATCTATCTCTGAAGAGTCTCCATTTCTACAGACATTATAATGAATACTGTCACTCTTCACTGCAGCGCTAATATCATCCTGGCTGAGTTACTGTGGTAAAAAAGTAAAGAGACAATTGAAAAAAAAACACATGTAACATAACAGACTGAGGAAAAAACTTTTATTGAGTGTGTGTGTGTGTGTGTGTGTGTGTGTATATGTGTATATATATATATATATATACACATGAATATAATGAGGCTGTAGCTGTATGAAGAATTAAAGATGAACTACAGGAAATAAAACATGGCTGGATAAACTATTTTGATTAGTGATCAAAAAACAATGCAGATTGTTAGAGTAAGACGTAGTTTCTCATTTACTGTTATTGCAAAAATAATATTTATATATTCAAACAGCAACTACAAAAATAAATATAATAGAAGATTTATCCACTGTGTTTGGTGCTGGACCCTGACCCTGCAGAGACATGTCTCACAGACACTGATCCAGGTGAAATCATTTCTCCAGCTCTTTATATTGAGCTCTTGTTAAACCACAGTGACACTGTGAGGTCACATCTGTCACACCTGTCCAGGACCAGGGTCGGCGCCCCTCATCCAACAGGTCTACACGATGCCAAACTGAGCCAGGTCGCTCAGCTCCATGTCACCGAACGCCTCCCAGGGGCAGACCACGGCAGAGTCTGCAGGACAGAAGAAGAAGAAGAAGAACCCAAAAGATGAGTCAGGACTAAATATCTGAACCTGGAATATTTCCAGACTGAACATAAAATTCACCCTCACCTCCAAGACCCTCCATCCCCGGGACGTCGTTGTCGAACCTGTTTGGAAAAAAAACAACAAAAACCAAAGTGAAATATTCCATGAATGTCCGAGTCGGTGGAGGAAACGGAGCAGTGGAGGGAAACGATCACACTCACCCCTTCTGTCCAGCTTTAGGAGCCTTGCTCTTGAACTGCCTGGTCTCCTTCTGCTTGAACTTGGGGGGAGCGGCTTTGCCACCTTCACCTGCTGCTGCTGCTGCGTTCATCTCGGAGACTTGAGAACACAAACAAACAAACATGTCACTCATCATAAATCCTGCAGGGGCGGGACGTGGACCTTCTGCACCACCACGACTCACACTTCATCCCTTCATCTCATTTCTATTAATAACACGTCTTCATGCCTGTTGACGTGTCATAAACACTCTCCATATTTTACAGTGCTAATCCTGTTAGTGTCGGTCTCTAAACCAGAGATCAGGTCACAACATATCAGAGCGTCAGGGATCAGTGTGCAGGACCTGAGGATCAAAATCTGCCCCCGAACAAGATTGCACTGATCCATGTCGTGTTCTGGGACGAGGCTGGATTATGAGGATTATAATCTATTTTTCAAAGATAATATTCATCTCATTTAGCTGCTGAACATCCCTAAACCTGATCTCCACCAGAGGATCTACAGTACAATATTTATAGATGAATCTTGTGGCACGTCTGCGCCTTCACACACAAGATACAGAAAAACAGCTTCAGTTCATTTCTTAACCACAGGCAAAAACACAAAGGAAAATTATATTAATCAGTTAAACATCGGACAGTTTTACTTCTTAAATGAATAAATTAACTATTGTATTATCATTTTTGATGTGTTTTTGTTGCTTATTCAGTTGATCTCATCCTTTTATCTTTAGATTTCAGGATTCAGATCTAATATCTATGAAACTGAGGAAAGACCATGTTGGGTTGGAGAGATGTTGAAGTTACAGTTCTGGTCTCTTTCCACAACCTGTGTCCTTTGTTTTATGAATTTAAATGAGAAATATTTTGAAAAGCAATATTGTATTTAAGGAGATCGGATAGTAAAAAGTTAAACAATCAAGTTCTATCAAGACTTAAAACTCATATTTCAAATTGCAAACCAATGATGCTTTTCCTTAGATGTTCTCATGCATTAGAGGAGCAAACCTTTGAGAAAAGTGTAGAAACTCTGCAAGTATTTTGTTTCTTGGAATATATCATGGTACCAGACAAAACCATAATGGAATTTAAACAGACATATAGTAGAAATTCCTCTTCTTTATGTTTCTTATCTGTTGTCATATTTGTCTTCCTGTTTATAATTCTCAAAATGAAGCATGTGCAAGTTTGAGAATCAGAGAAATGCACTTACTTGTTGTTTTCCTGGACGACTGGACGTCAAAGAAGAAGAAGCAAAAAAGCAACTACAAGACAAAGATGGAGTCCTCTTTCTTCTCGCAGTCTGTCTCTTCTGTCTCATCATCGTGTCCTCACCCTGTCTTTATAGTCTTGGTTTAACCCCCTCCCACTTATTGTTTGGAGCTAACAAAAGCCACAGGGGCTGGCTGGAAGTATTCTGAGTGAAGGCTTATAAGTAAGCCTGATAAGTCAAAGATAATCACAGGGGGTCTCAGACGGTCAGTCATTAGTAAATGACTAGTCATATATTTCAACTGTCTTTTCTTTCTCAGTGTTTCCCATAAACATCTAAATAATAAGAATAAAACTCTTTAAAAAAAAAATTGTAAATATTAAATTGAAAATGGTTTGAGTCTGATGATCAAAAGACAACATAAACAAAACTTTATTAACACACAAGCTCATTGATTTTCAGCAGTACAGGTTTGGTTCGATCAAGGACACCACGATGAGTAAACGGAGGATTACAGGTAATAATCTCTCTCACCGTCGTTCAAGCTTGTGAAGTCTAAGGGAGCATGAGACCTTTGCATAACAAGGAAGATATTAGGGTGAAACGTGTTCGGCTTTGCAAGATCCTATGAGCTGCAGTGATGCAACATGAGGCGACACGTCCATGTGAGCAAAAAATGAGACAAATGACTCCACTTTATTTTTTAATGTATTATACTTATGAGTGTGTACAGTTTGATGTGGTGTGTTTGTGTGTAGTATTCATCATACATACTAAACCTCAATGCTATTCTATCTATTTTGTCCACACACATTTAAATTTTTTTTTAAATTTCATTATTATTAGTTGTTTTTTCTACTGAGACCCTGTGCAATTATTTTTATTATTCCCTTTATTTCTTTTATTTTTTCAATTTTTTTAATCACTTAGTTTTTTCTCTTTCGTGTTTGTTGTTGCCTCTGTTGTGTGTTTGTGAGTTGTGAACAATAAATCTAGATTTTTTTGTATATATTACATATATATATATATATATGTGTGTGTGTATATATTACACATATATATATATATATGTGTGTATATATTACATATATATACATATATATTTCTTATATTTCAGTGACTGAAGATCTTTCCATAGTTTATATTTTACATAATGTGTAAACATTATACAATGTAAAAAACTGTGACATCAACCATGTCTGCATTCACCTCAGCAGGATTATCCATAAGGCTGTCTCAAAATACACCCTCTCCCATTAGGAATGAGTGGATTATATACAAGAGTGTGTGGTTTATAAATATTGACACAGAACTTTTCAGAGTGTAACACTCAGTTACAGTAAGACACGTTGATAAATAATGACGGAGTTTAAGTAGAAACTGATTAATCTCTACATCAAATTCATTTATTTATGAATGAATATTGATCCAAGCAATTTAGCACTGAATGACAAAATAATGATTAAAAAATAAATAAAATAGAAGGTTTTCACTTTGTTAATGGAACAAACTTTCTACTACATCTTCTCAGGTTATTAAAAACAATCAGTGAGAAATGGAAGTTATTTTGAATTTAATTTAATGAACTGATCATCATCAAATCACACATGGAGATACAACCCCTGACAAAAATTATGGAATCACATATCTATGAGGATGTTCATTCAATTGTTTAATTTTGAAGAAAAAAAGCAAATCACAGACATGCCACAAAACTATCATTATTTAAAATGCCAACCTTCTGGCTTTGAGAAACAATTTAAAAAAAGACAGAAAGAAAAGTGTTGTAGTCAGTCACAATTGCTTTTTTAGATCAAGCAGAGGAAAAAAAATATGGAATCACTCAATTCTGAGGAAAATACTATGGAATCACCCTGTAATTTGCAGTTCTAAAACAAACACCTGCATCAGATTAAATCTGCTAATTAGTCTGCAGTTAAAAAAGAGTGCTCACACCTTGGAGAGCTGTTGCACCAAACAGATTGACATGAATCATGTCTCCAACATGAGAGATGTCAGTTGAAACAAAGGAGAGGATTACAAAACTTCTTCAAGAAGGTAAATCATCACGCAATATTGCAAAAGATATTGGTTGTTCCCAGTCAGCTGTGTCTAAAAGCTGGACCAAGTACAAACAAAATGGGAAGGTTGTAAAAAGGAAGCATACTGGTAGACGAAGGAAGACATCAAAGTGTCAAGGTAGAAAACTTAAAGCAATATGTCTTGAAAACAGAAAATGCACAACAAAACAAATGGAGAACAAATGGGCGGAAACTGGAGTCAATGTCTGTAAGAAATCGCCTAAAGGAAATGGGATTTACATACAGAAGAGCCAAACAAAAGCCATCATTAACACCTAAACAGAAAAGAACAAGGTTACAGTGGGCTAAAGAAAAGCAGTCATGGACTGTGGATGACTGGATGAACGTGATATTCAGTGATGAATCGTGAATCTGCATTGGGCAAGGTGATGATACTGGAACTTTTGTTTGGTGCCGTTCCAGTGAAATTTATGAAGATGACTTGCCTGAAGAAAACATGCAAATTTCCACAGTCATTGATGATATGGGGCTGCATGTAGGTAAAGGCACGGGGGAGATGGCAGTCATTACATCTTCAATAAATGCACAAGTTTACATTGAAATTTATGGACACTTTTCTTATTCCATCAATTGAAAGGATGTTTGGTGATGATGACATCATTTTTCAATATGATAATGCATCTTGCTATAGGGCAAAAGACATGAAAACTTTCCTTCAAGAAAGACATATAATGTCAATGGCATGGCCTGCAAATAGTCGGGATCTCAATCCAATTGAAAATCTATGGTGGAAATTGAATGGTCCATGACAAGGCTCCAACCTGCAAAGCTGATCTGGTAACAGCAATAAGAGACAGTTGGAGCCGGATTGATGGAGAATACTGTTTGTCAATTGTTAAGTCCATGCCTCAGGGAAATCAAGCTGTTATAAGAGAAACAGGTGGTGCAACAAAGTCTCATGATTCCATAATATTTTCCTCAGAATATTTTTTATTTTTTTAATGTTTCTTAAAGCCAGAAGGTTGGCATTTTGAATAATAATAGTTTTGTGGCATGTCTGTGATTAGTTTTTTATTCTACAAAATTAAATAATTGAATGAACATCCTCCAAGAGTGGTGATTCCATAATTTTTGCCAGGGGTTGTAGAAGAGCACATCATCAAACACAAAAGAGAGGGAGAGTTAGCTGTATGTGCTAATGAACCTGTTTGCCTTGCAGTCTGTACATGGGGGATGAGTGTAAACTGGTTTTGAAAAACCCTTTCAAAACAAAAGTATTGTGGCAGGATGATTCAGTGTCTCGCTTCACTTCACCATAAATCTCAGCCCAAACCTCACAGCATCACTCTATCAGAGAGGTGCGGCACTGGTTTTCAATACAGGATGTGTTTAAAAATCTGCCACAATAGGAACAGTGGTATAATTATTTTTATAAGCTTTATTGAATAAAATAATAATAACAGCACTTTAGCCTGTTTCATTATGGTGTCAGATTTAATCCATCCACACAATTGCAATACCTTGGATTCTCCAGCAGAAGTCGCCAATTCCCACCTTAGCAAATTCTTCAAACTAGTGATCTGTTTTACTTCATTATGATTCAGAGCTTCAGAAAGTTTCATTTCTCATCAATAAGCTGAAGGTTATTGGTGAGAGGATTTTCAGCAGTTATCCTCTTAAAATTAACTTCCTATTGATAAATGGATGACACCCAAGGGACTTTCCCAAAGACAAATTATTTTGTGTAACTTTCTACCTGCACATGGTGAGTACCTTTTGTTTTATAACTCTCTCTTAAATCAGTATTTATGTATTTTTAAAAACATTTTGGGTT